ATATAATATTTACCTACATAATTTAGTATTGATTTTGTTGTTGATGGTATCGGGGAAAGACGAAATCAATTTTAAAACATAATAGGTATTGCAGTGCGCTAGTGGCAACTTCCTCTGTCTCATTTGTTCAATCCTAGATTATTAAATAGCAGTATAGCACCAGTGCACTACCTGGTACTATACTTGATGGATGATTTCGTTGAGAAAAACACTATTTAAGTACCTTCTATACTCTATAAATTCTATTTCCGATCTCATATATGTTAATTATAAATTTTACCAAAAATGTGCAGTTTAGAAATGATCATAACTTGCTTCGTAATTAAAATACCATTCGAGATGCCCTAGACCAAGGGTGGCTAACCTACGGCACTTGTGCCAAAGGTGGCACGTTGGTCAAATTTCAATGACACGCCAAAAATTAAAATTATAAAAAGTTATGCTATTTATAAAATGTTGGTTATAAGAAATTCAAAGAAATAAATTATGTTTAAAAATTATAATATTCCTATGTAAACTGTATTGTGTTACTAGATTATTACTATATTTATTATTTAAGACTTCAATATTATGATTATTCACTATTATTATACCCAACTTTATTTTTATCCTTAGAACATTTTCTGTGGGCACCTGAAAAATGTTCAAAACCTTGCTTGAAAGAATTTGGCACTTGACAGAATAAAGGTTAGCCACCCCTGCCCTAGACTGTTGTAATATGTTTTCTTCAAATTTTATGATAGGTCAATTCCCTCTAATTTTAAAGACTAATGGATTGTTGTGAACTTACAATTTGCCATGTTGTACGATGGTAAGACGCTAACTTGACACACACGCGTCATAGGCGTAGCACATAGATTTATATATATTGTAGTAGTGTAGTGTAGTGTAGTCTGTGCGGTAGCGTGATGAATTTATGTAGAGGGCGGGGAACTATAGCCTATGCCCTGTTTCGGGTATACAGCCCAATATTAAATTCTAAAAAAGTAAATAAAAAAAATGTCTGAGGGCTTTAACCACTCTACCTCCCCAATTCCATGTCTATTCCGCTTCATTGGCCTTATTATTATTATTATTATTATTATAGAGATATAATGAAACAGTATTCCTATTTCCTGCCACTTCAAAGGTGTTGTTAAGCGTAGAGTAATATGAACAGTTGGGCAATCAAACTCTATGTGTAGATGAGAACTAAGTACCAAAGATGAAAATTTGTTAGATAGGTTAATAGTATGAAGTGAGTTGGATAAGGGAATAGTAAAACTAATATTAAAAAAAGGTTCAACAACTTAGAAATAGAATTTTAAAACTTAGAAACTAAAATTTTGGAAATTTTGAAAGAAAATCCATTCTGATTCAGGTAAATTTGAATTATAGAGTGCTAAAGTAGAAATTGGTTTAATTAATTTTATTGTAATAAAATAAATACGTTAAAATTAATCTCTACAAAAATTAAACAGCACGAAAGTATACATACTGACCTTGATTTGAAAAGCATTTTTATAAATAAATCCTTAAAAATAAATTGTTAAGAGTTTTTTTGGGATCATGGTAAAAAAAGCAGCAAAGTTTTTCATAAGCATTCTGGCATTCACATACTTAAAAAAAAAAGTGGGTAAATGGGTGTCGCTGTGCTGTAGAGTAGATACAATAATAATAAAATAATATATTAATATTATATAAATATTATAATATTATATTAACAATATATAATGGATTGTATTAAACTTGAATTCAATGATTTAAAATATAATTGCATAAGAAACACGATTCTGAGCTGTAACGGTTTGTCAGTCTGGATATTGTCCTTATTTATAATAGCCTGTAAGTTGAGTTAATATGATAATATTATAATTTACTAGCTGATCCCGTGCACTTCGTTACCTGTTAAATGTATCAACTCTATACGACTCAAATTTGGTTCAATTCGTTATTTAATATTCTGTGTATGGTGTTCAAAATTTATCTTAACTTTTCCGTTGCTCAGAATAAAAATTCTGATTCGCAGTAGTACCTATATTATCAGGTAGACAATCTACCTACGGTAGATCGGGGACCCCTTGATGTTTGTACGTAACTTTATAATTTAACTCTTAAGTATCAAAGTTATACCAAGTATGTTACTAAGCTCCTCCTAAACGGTTGGACTAGTGGTGAATGCCGACCAATATTTCCTCCTCGTCCACGAATACGTGGCATCGTGATTGTTTTACGTACCATGTACGTAACTTATATGTGAGTATAATACGCTCAATATTTACGTAATTGTGATACATAACACAGCGTACAAAAAAATTAAATGCATTGAATGAATTCACTTATTTCAATAGTTTTAAAACCCACAGCAACCATTTATAAACAAAGATTTCCACCATAAATCTTTAAATCAACGTTTGAGCACATGCCCTGGTTGGACCTAGGGTGATGATTTATAGCCTATGTGTTATTCTGATGTATAAGCTATAGTATTGTAAAGTTTCATTAAAATCCATTCAGTAGTTTTTACGTAGAGTAACAAAGTCACAGACTTTCGCATTTATAATATTAATAGGATTATTTGTTTCCATGGTGATAAACAAAGCGTTAGAAATTAAAAACCCATTTTTAGCGGTATATCCCATGGCATTAAATAACTATTGAGAAAATAGAAAAATTACCTAAAGTACTATCTTGATCCAATTTACTAAAATATAAGATACTATATGTTGAAATCGGAGCATTCTGGTAGAAATTTTTGTATACAGGATAAAAAAAAAAAATAAACACCATTGCATAACCACTACAATAATATTATAAAAATATAAAATAACTTCGGTTTACCAATAACATTAAGTTTTTTTTTTTTATAAAGTTTCATTAATAAGAATCAGATTATTTAAATAATACCATTGTATTAAATATTAAAATATTCGTAAGTACGCTACTAATGTGTTTGATGTGCCATCTTACAGACTTACAACATAGCAATTTATTTGATCACTAGTGTCCTCTGCTAGTTAAGAGTTAGTTGATACATTATCAAACTTTTAGGTAAGCACACTATCAGTGCTTAAGTCTGTGATTTTTTTCAAGTGTGAAATAATAAAAGTTAAGAAAGCTTATTTCTTCCTTGAAAATTAAAATATTGAATAAAAGCCAACACTTAAGTACAGATAACGTTCTTACCTATAGTTTAATAATAGGTCAATTTAATCTAATATGAAAAGTAACAGCATATACTATTGAAACTAGTGAGCAAACATTTGCTATGTCGAATGTGCGTAAGACAACAAATGCATGGGGGGTAGCATCATCTAAAAGAATATAGATATAAATATGTAAATTTAAAAAAATTTTAAAGGTTAGGTAACATATAAAAATTATTTATTAGGCATGGTAAACAACCATATAAAAAGTAATTTTTTTCCTGATAATAATTTGTTTAAGGTTGCTTTTACCATTTTTATAGTAGATAATTTAGATAATTAAAATCCGCTCCAATGACCAATACCCATTGTATGAATAATGTACTGACTTTACTGGGAACCATTCAACCATATGAATCTTGGAGATCAGTTAGACTTAGGGCAACATTAGTTACTGTTAAATTGTTTCTTAGAATAAAAAATAAATAACAACTTAAATACATAAAGATAAGGTATTATAAGTACATAACATAATAACTTTAAAAAATAAATGTTTTCGGCAACTCCCAAAAAAGTGTATATCATGCTTGGAATGACATTAAAAAAGTTAATTCAACTTAATTTTAATTAAATGAGTTTGATAACTATTGTAAATTAACAGTTACTTATTTTTTAAATATCCAAAAACTCTTAAGAAAAACAAGACTAAAATATATTTTTATATACATATTATAATAGTATACAGTATTATTTTTTAAATTCGAGAAACCTTTTTATTCTTAAAATATTCTTGTCTGCCATTCCCAGCATTATTTGCTCCGCAGTCAGCAGCTGTCTATATAAGTTTATGAGCATACTGCAAAGTTCCATTGTATTTTAACTTAACAGACGTCAATAATATTATTTGATTACAAAAGTTACAAGACTGGTTCACTATCAAATCTTCTAATACAAACGTAAAATAACTTATTTCCTTAATTCAGTCAGAATTAGTTATAGACTTAGCCTAACAATTTATGATCAAGCTCAGCTTTGGTGTATCATTAGTTAGTAGTTGAATCAAATTAAAACTATACAACATACATGTAATAAATTAAACTAATTTCAGTTGGAAGTTATTGAATAAACTAACTTTTAAATTATGACAACTAAAGATCCAGCTTTGTTAGTTGGCTGATTAATATATATTATATTTTTCTATTAATGGTTTAGGTGTTGTAAACCAACCAAAATTTAAGATATTGAGTGGCACTGATTACATTAAAAAATAAAAAACATCATATTTCGTGCTTTAGAAGGTTATTTTACGAAATATTACATTGTTGTAAGTAGACTATTATTTTCTCAATGTAAAACACCAAGTAAGTGAATACATCTACAAAAAATAAAATATAAAGTCATCTATTATATTTAATGATTGTACGGGATTAGCATTAATTCAATTCCGAGTTCAATTCTTAGTCATAACCAATAGTCGGATAAAATAAAAAAATTAATTACCAAACAAAGCAATTTAACTAGGGAGTTACAGTTTTAATTTTATCTCAATGAAAATAAATACAAATAAAATTTCATACAAACTAAATCTTAAACCTACATACATATAAATAAAAAATATTCAGATGAATTAATTTTCTCTTTATAAATCGGTTATCAAAAAAATTAAAATTAGTAAGAAACACTCACAAAAATGAAAATACAAATTTTGATGTACTTAATAATAATGTAGTCTGATTATTAGAATATGAAAATTACAGCAGTATTACTAGAGGAACATCAAAATAGGTAAATCAACATTGTTGTTTTGTGTTTATGTTTACCTATGTATATTATTATGTTCAAATTGACTGTTAATAGTAACCACGAAAAAGTATCTTAGTCGACACGGCTTTTTTTAGCATCATTAATGTCTTCAATTGCCTCATCAGCTTTTCTTTTTATTGCCAATTTTTCTTCATTACTGATTTCTTCTGCATCTATTTCTTCGTTACTGATTTTTTCTGTAATTTCTTCTTCTTCATTACCGATTTCTTCTGCACCTCCTTCTGTAACTTCTTCATAACCAATTTCCTCTTTATCAACCATTAGATGATTAACTGCTTCTCTTGTATCTCCATTGTTGTCACATACAGTACTTTCAGCCTGGTCAATAAAACAATCGTCCTCATCATCCTCATCAGGTTTTGTCTTGTTGTTCTGTTCATTAGCAGTGTGAAGATCATTTTTATTATTGAAAATCTCAAAGTCAGGATCTTCATCTCTTGACTTTTCTTTGTCAAATGCTATTATTTTAACACGGAAATTCTGATGATCGTCTTCTGCATCAAAACTACATCCGCTTGTCATGCCCGCTTCTGATAATGTCATATCATACATATCTACTCCGTCAGTTTCGTCACTAGAGATAATCACTCTATCTAACATTGTCACATCGGGTGCCACCATATTCAGTTTTTTTTTCAACACAAGTTCTTCTAACTGCCTTACTGTGAAATTGTTCATGTCGGTTGTAAATATAATTTCTCCCTTGGAGGAACACACATTGCATTTGGGGTTAGGTGGTTGAAGACATCTGTCTTTCACCAGTACTCCCCCTTTATGGTTTGGCATACTTCTCAAAAAAACATTCTGACATTTCTCAAATTTGCCTCTAAGGATCCTCAAAGCATGGATCACAATTTGTCCAGCAATCATTGCATTAGCAGTGGCAATGGCAGGAATAATATTACCCGCCATCGACTTAATATCAAAATGGGTTTTAAAAGGAATATTAAAAAGAGCAGAGCGAAGATTGCTACAAGAGACAACAAAATTCATCATCATATCATCATCCTTGTCCCATACTAAGCATTTGTTTGTAGATATTTCCCATTGTTCTTTAATAGGAGTTACACAATCCAAAAACATTGAAATGTTTTGTTCCAGGGTTAACATTTCACTGTCTAGAACGTCACTATACTTAACATGTTCTTGATCTAAGAGTGATTCGTCCAATAGAACAGGCTTTATTTTCTTGTCAGCATACAAGTCTTTCATGTTCATTAAAGCTTTAATGTCATCAAAAAAAACTTTTTTAAATAGTTTTTTAGGATTGTAATCGTTTTGTATCGCCCAATTACGGGCAGACAATTTCTCGGATTCAATATTTTCTTCATCAAATGAAACAATCTCGTCGATTTCGCCGAACAACTGATTAAACAAGAATTTAGCCCATATGATGCAATGGATGGGCTCTTTGGGAGTATTTCTTATAGTGCACATAGGATAGGTCCTGGGTTCGGCTCTTGTATTACACTCATAACATATAGTAACTCCTTTTTTAATGAACTCCACTTGACCGTTGTAACCCATCGTACCGGATTCAATGAGAGGGATTTGACATGATAAGCACATACGATTTACATGGCTACGCGCCTTCTTGTTGTCCAAAGCATTGATGACCAATTTAAACTTATTAAAAAAGGCTACGCCGTACTTGGTGTCCATAATGTCACCAAAGTGCGACATGATGTTGACATTCGGGTTGAATTTAAGTACGCTAGTTTTAGCGACATGAGATTTGGCTTTGCCCACTGACTCTTTGCTGAATAGAAACTGACGGTTCAAATTACTCACTTCGATAGTGTCCAAATCGATCACCTCCAGCTCGCTAAAACCAGTCAACACGAGGTTTTTGAGAACTTCGCAGCCAATGCCACCCGCGCCAACTAACAGGATCTTGGACTCTTTGATGAGATTTTGTAATTCAGGGTTGAACACTCCAGCAATAGTGGCCGCCATGGTCTTCTCGTGTGTTTTGAGAAAAAAATGCTTGAGATTCAATTCGGGCGTTAGCACACGGCGTCACGGCGAGCGTAGGTACTTGGCGCGGCGATTGTCCTCGTGGTTTTCTTGACCAGGAGGTACCGAAGGGAAACGGTGGAGAAAAAATAACAACAGCTACGGCGGTACTCGGTAGTAAGACGAATTGTTGGCGGCTCGCAAGAAAATTAAAGAATAATGAGTAAACAACTTACTGGCAGCTAACAGAAAAGTGATCTTTGGCGGGAGGCCGTAAAGTAAACGAGTGCCGACTGCCGAGCGACAAAGCAAGAATAGCCGGAATGGCGGATTCGGGAGTTATTACAATATATATAGCCTATAAATTAGTTATAACCGAATGACGAATTATTTGTTAGGATTTAGGACCAATGGCGTAAAGCGTCTCGGCGTCCGCTACTCAGTGTAAACACTTAACACTCACCGTCACCGCGTTTGAGCATGGTTCTAGCGAACACGGAATAGTATACAATAGGGTATACGCCATACGGAATAGCAGAGATATATTTTCGATAGCGGTTCAAAATTGTATGATACCAGTAAACTTCTACGGAGGTACAACAAACAACTAACACAACCTGCTCTTGGAAGGTAAAACGATGGCTTGTAAACATAGACCACAGGTTAGGCATACCACAGAACATACCAGGGTTAATATTATATTTTATTATGGTTATGATAATATTACAGATATTCAATATACCATGTTACAGACAGAGATTTTAAATAATTTATTTTATTTAAAATCTCTGGTTACAGAATAATATTTTATATCATCGACGAGATAGCAGGCTGATAAACAATATAATTAATAATTATTATTTATAATTTATATATATTGCTTATCTGATGTTCCAAATTCTGTGATATTATATTAATTTATATTCATAATTTAATATGTATAAAAAAAATAGATTAATTTAATACATTATTAGATACATTGTGATTATAATTTATTTTATAATATTGTTCATGAACTACTGTACTACAACAGACTGTAGTCTGTAATACTGTATATTTATATTTAAGAATGATATAAAAAAAATAATTAATTAGAAATTAGTAAGTTTATTTGTCATGATATCTATTCTATATTTAAATAATAAATAATGATATAATATTGTCTATAGATTTATGTTTATTATTTATTATTAATTTTTATTCTCACATGTTTTATTCAGTATCAGTATTTAAGATTAACTGTTAATTAATAATTAGTAATTACCACTTATTAATCTTACCAGACACTGATATTAAATTCTTAACTACGGACGCATTAAATATTTTAAATCTTGGCCTGTGCCCTGTGATGATAAATATTAATTTTTCATTATTGTTTGTTAATCGTTATTATTTACCGTAAATTAATGGTCACTCATCAAATACTTTACATTTTTTAGGGTATTTGAAGTCTTGCATCTGTCAACGACGATTCAGATTTCAGAATATACAATTTGATGTTATTCAAAAGTAACTATATATTTTCTATCCACTTTTGAACGAGTAGACATACCATTTTTAAATCATCTGACATCTTCAGATCACTTTTAATCCTGTTCTGTTATATGTTGATTGCTGTCCACAATTAGTCAATTAGTCATAATGGTACCTCGCGTGACTCTGGTGAGTTTGAAAAAAATAATTAATTATTACAATTCACAGTCATATCGCATACTGTCGGTGTTTGTGATGTTACACAACCACTCGGATAAAACGAGTTACTCCTGAACGTATTACCATACCACATTGTACTCGTTAAATAGCCATGCTCAATGTTTGAATAAATATGTATATTTTATTTTTCTAAATACTGGCAAATGAGGTGGCTGCATGTCTATATTTTAGTTACTTATTTACTTTTGTTTTTCTCTAGCTGGACTCTCATGTACTCGATGATCACATTTCCAAAATATTCATTGGCCAGACCTTAAAGGTTTTTCAGTACTTACCGGTTAGTACCTACATTATTTCTACTGAAGCAACTTTTTTTATCAAACGTAATAATAACATATTTTGATAAAATAGTTCAAGGTACCTATAGGCTAAAATAAAAAGTATAGTAATATGAGTATCTTATATTTTATAAAAAGTAAAAACACTTTTTTTTTGCATTTGATTGTTAAATTTCTAATTTTTAAATTTATTATATTACTTTTCAGTCATGGATTTTAAACAATTGCGAGTTGGAAATAAATTTGGTATTAAAATTCTTAATGACATATGTGAGTGGAAATATTTCATTTGATAAATTTAGTAAATGCTTATATTACATAAAAATGTATTTTTAGTATTCTGTGACAAAATCAAAAGCAACATTTGGTCAACAAATGCTTGGAATTAGATTCAAACCAGACCAGCTGACTGATACAAAGTTGGTTCTGTTTCAACTGTTTACGGTAGGAGCAGAGTACATACAATCAAAAGTAGAAAGTCCATCAAACAATTTTATAAACAATGTAAATTATTTATCATGTATAATTTAAATGTTGAAATATCTAATGATTGTGAATTTCAGATAGATTTCTAACCTACAATTAATTGTTGATGTTTTGAAAGCGGGTTCTTTCTTGAATTTTCTGCTCTTCCTGCAACAAGGCAAGTACCCGACATTAACTCAAAGGTTTTTAAGTCTTTCACAAGAGTCAACCCGCAAACGAAATATTGAATACACTTATATGACAAGAGAACTGCTGTGGCATGGTTTTTCTGTATGTATCATGTAACCTGTAGTCACTACATTGTAATTCATAAAATCATAATAATACTTGATGATTATTATTTTTTTATCGACATTTATTATAATATTTAGTGATGCAGACAATATTTATTTTTCAATTCTATATAAACAAATTTTCCAATATTGATAGAAATTTATTAGAAATTTTTTTATTCATTGATATTTTGATAGAAAATAAATTTAATCAGATATTACTGACAATACATGGGATTCATGCTAACCCTCCTTTTTACTTCAATAATATAGTTATTCAAAATCTGTTTTTTAAAATTTCTAATTATACTGGGTGGGGCACTAAAACGGCCAATTTTCAATGAAAATCTATTTTTAAAATCAGCCATTTCAGTGCATCACCCTGTACTTAGAGATTATATTTTCAAATTCATAAAATTTTTTGGAACAAATGCAATTTACCACGCCCCTCACGAATTTTGAAATTTTTTTTTTTTAAAGACGTGTTTTTCAACGCTGATTTCTAAACTGGTTGAATTTTTGTGCGGAAACCATTATTTTGGAAGTTATAGCCTTCCAAAGTTTGCAATTTTACGTTTATACGCATGCGCTCAACACCACTACATTACTGCCGCTCGGAGCGTATATAACCTATTTAAATTCTTTTTACAGGGACAATAAAATATAATATAATAAACAGGTACAAAGACCATCCACAGAATGCTAATATGCCTCCAGGAGCCTGACGGCTCCGGTCTCCTATCTTGATGGCCAGTTAAAGTATAATAAGTGTATAGTGGCTCCATTTGCCAAACTCGAGTTCCTCCGCCCTGCATTGAAGTAGTGTTGCGCGCATGCGTATAAACATAAAATCGCAAACTTTGGAAGGCTATAACCTACAAAATAATGGTTTCCGCACAAAAATTCAAACAGTTTTTAAATCAGCGTTGAAAAACACGTCTTTTAAAAAAAGAAATTTTGAAATTCGTGAAGGGCGTGGTAAAGTGCATTTTAGCCGATTTTTTGTGCTACTTAAGCAGTGTCCTTTGGAGATTCAAGCTTCGGTTTTTAAAATGAGAACACCCCTATTCAACTATAAATTATACAGAAAATATATTTTCTGACATTTATGACTTATCAAAATCAAAATTTGTACGAGTAGTTTTTGAGTTATTTAACTTTGTGTTCTAAGGATAAAAGGTCTCCATAGTAATGGGTTTATAAAATATGGCGGCTATGATGATTTGAAAACTGTAGTCATTAATATTCATTAATAATCTATCAGTATTAATAACTTATGAAAATGGTCCAAGTGTTATTTAAATACTAGGTCCAAAACAGTTTCAACTATATTTTCTCTTTGGTTCATATAAATTATGATTTGAAACAAATTTTATAATTTTACATTCTCAGTTTTAAACAAGTAAAATATATTATTTTTTAAACTATTTATTTATATTATTTTTAATCTTTACAAATAAAAACAATTTCTTGGGAATTATTATATTTAACCAAAAGTATTAGGGATATGACATTGAATGTCTTGAGCAGAGGAAGTTGTATAGATATTAAACTTTTCAATGAAAATTGATTTTTTGAAATTCAATTTTAAAATTGAAATTCAATGATTCAATGAAAATTATTACCAGACTAATTCTAAATTTGATTCTTATTTCTTAAAATAACAAATTTAAGTTTTATTATATTATTTATTTCTATCATTAATACCTAATTTATTTGTAGTTTTAGCAAAGACAGTCATTGTTGAATATTTAATATTTATAAATATTTTAAACCATCTATAGTTTTATTTAACTTTCCAATAAAAAATATCAAAAATATGTAATTTAATAGGTATTCTGTATATGTTAACATTAAGCTTTATAAGTTTATAATATTTACATATACATCCATTAAATGCAAATCATGTAATAAATGCTTAATTTTAAAAATAATTAGTGTACACCTTTTCTTTGGAAAATCTTTTAAATTCGGTGAAACAATAAAAAAATTTCCAATTTAATAAGTTACTCATTATTTACCAATTTTATTTCTATCATTTTAGATTCTGAGTGAAACGATGAATGTATTGATTTTACAATGATTTGTGTTTTTTTTGTGTCTGTCATCACGGTTTGGGGCAGTAAAACTGCTTTGATTTTCTTCAACAGTATCTTGTTCGATGGGAAAGTGAATCTAGTTGGTGCATACAGGAGGTCAAATTTTAAACATTTTTTTTTATCATTATTGTTTTATTGTAGGTGTATTAATAATATTAGGAAGATAAAAATATTTTTAATATAATTTTTTGTTTTTAACCATCTAAAATTATTCAAAAATATTTTTTTGATTTTTTAGCGTGTAAATGAAAATTAGTCAACTTACCCATACTCATATGTGTAAATCAAATAAAGAGAGTTCCCAGAATTTTAAAAATGTTGTTTTTATTTTGTGTCCATAGGGAATTAATGCATACAGAAATTATTTCTGTAAAGTTTATCACAACAAAACATGAATTTAGTTATTCCTTATTTTTACCACTGATAATCGTTATTTAATTATTTAAAAATATTTATGTATTCATATATAAGCTTATAAATGCATACATTTTAATTGTATAATTAGATATACTATATTCATGTCTGTTTTTCAGGTAAATATTTTAAAAATAAATAAATTCATGTTTTGTTGCAACAAACTTCACAGAAATAATTTCTGTACACAATAATTCCTTTGCTAAAAAACAAAAAAAATCTTGTAACATTTAAATGTTTTTGAATAATTTTAAATGGTTATTAACAAAACATTATAATAAAAATATTTTTATCTTCCTAATATTATTAATAAGCCTACAATAAAATAATAATAGAAAAAAACCTAAAAAAACATTGTATTTCCCTCATAAAAAAAATATATAATTACATTAAAAACAAAAGAAAAAAACGATGAGACTTAAATTTTTCACGTTGATATTGTTATAAACAAGTTAAAAATTAATGTATGATCATGAAATTTTGATATTTGACTTTAGGAACTTATGCGAATAGAGTTTTTTACATTTTATTTTTAAATACAATACTTTTTTTGTTTTTAAATTTATTTTGAAATTAGACTTTTGAACTTCCTAAATTGGTTTTTAGACTACTGTGTGCCGTCTACTGTGATCGTATTATCGTAATAATTATTGCATATAATAGATACGACACGGCGTCGTGTACCTAGTATTTATTATATTCTATTATTATTTATTTGTGTATTGTGGCCTCTTGAGCCTTTGAGTAGGTACTCTAATATTAGTATAGAAATATATTTGTTTATGATGAGCAACAATAATTTATCACAGGAAATTACCGAATCTTAACTCAAAAATTAAAACCAAACTAAAATCTCGGAAATATTTCTCTAATATAATCCAATATAGCGGAAATATTCTAAAGTATTCTTTTATATGTACCATAAGCTAAAATATTCTAATATATTTTCTAAAGTAAAAATATGCACTAATATGCAAAATAAACTTTTAATAGATTCTACAGGTTATGGAACAACATTTCTTATTCCCATCATACAGCATACGCTAGTTAAAAATTTGATTTTACACAAAAATTCGGACTTTACTTATAACTTATCAATCTCGTGTTCTCTTAACTTAACTTAACTAGTTAAGTATTTTCATTAACTTGCCAACCTTTGAAAAATGTTAAACAAGTTTTATACATTTTTATCTTTGATTTAGGTTTACAAGTTAATTAAAGTTATAGTCAGTATTATAATAGCATGTAAATTATATTTATATTTCTAGGAGCTGTTGTTATTCACATTGCCTCTGATCAATTATCAGTCTTTGAAACATAAAATATCCAGAGTAATGCATTTTGCACCACGCAAAGAAGATTTCAAAGAAAGACAGCCGCTCATGTTTCCTGTGTCGGTGTGTAGTATTTGTCGAGAGAGACCTGTGTTACCACATCACCTTAAATGCTCTCATGTGTTTTGTTACTACTGTATAAGTGTAAGTTGATAAATAATATGATAAATTATTTTTCTAAATTATAATTTATTATTGTTACAGTCAAAGAGAATGGTTGATGAAAAATTTGAATGCCCCGAGTGTCATCATTTCGAACAAAATGTAATACCTGTGATATTGATCAATAAAGTTAATATAAGCTCATAATAATTTATCATGAGCTCCTGAAGTTTGAATTTTGACAAAATTCATCAAAATCATGAAAATTTGCATGAATATTATGCCAGAAAAATAAGATAATACCTGGTCTATACATTAACGGAATTATATAATGTACTACTAATGATACCGATTGTTAGAATTTACATACAGATCAATAATTGTATGCCGAATCACAGTATTGAGTACTGATAGTTCAGATAATCATACTCATATTTACTATAGGTAATTAATATGACAACATGTATATGTCTCAAAATAACACATTTTGTACCTAAATAATATTTTACTTAAAATAATACACCAGTACCATGTACCTTTGATAATAAACAACATTAATATTCTGAGTCTTGTCAACAAGTATCAAAATTCAAAGGTAATTTTGAATAGTTATTTTTTATACATATTATTAGTTGAAATCATCTAATTAAAGTACCTAGACCTAGGTCATTACAAATAATAAAAACCATTCATATTTATAAATCTGTATGCACGATACAAATAACTCAAATAATATATTATAGACTTGAATATTTAATAAAAGAAAGGACAAGAGGATCGATAATCTTAGTCCTATCAATTACTATTCGTTAAAAGTTCTTAACTATACCATTCCGTAATTATATTATCATAAGGTAAAAGTCTCATTAATAGCAACTCTCAAGCTTATTTTGATTTATTACATAACTATCAACTTATGGATATAAATATATAATATATATTATTATGTATATAATTTAAAACCTGTAAACATAGGCGTGCACGGACTTAAAGTTCGGAGCAAGACCATTAAAAATTTGAATTTTATATTATACACACAGACAGAGTTTAGTATAGATATTATACAATTTCACATTTTTTATATTATAACATATATATTAATCATTTGTATATAATATTTACTGCTTCATTAGTCTATTTTCCAATGTATTCAATTCATCGATGATAGAATCCAAGTCTATACAAAACTCTTGTTCAGTTGATAGTAAAAGTAACAAATCTAATCGTTCCTGTTCATCATACTTCAAGTTTAGTTTTTAAATTTGTAATATTTTAAAAGACTCGTTTGCATGTAGGTACAACTTGTGACTAGAATAATGGTAGATAATTGTAATGTTTTATAAAAACAACTGTATGTAGATTGTAGATATACTATTGTTAGTTTTCAGACAATCAAGTATACAGATACAGATATAGAAATAGATACAGATAAATAATTTACAAGAAGTAGGTAATTAATAATTATTTTATTAATACATAATATTAACTTTTACAAATGTATAAAGCTTCAGAGTTAAATATAAAATATCTATTGATAATGCAGATTTATGTTAGAAAAATAAAATGTACCCATGCATATTTTTGAGAGTAAACTGTATTATTTAGGTAGGTATAGGTTTAGTTAGGTACTTATACAAAAATAGGTAAGTATAAGGTTTAATATACCTAACATAATAAAACAAATGTTTTTATGATTTAGAATTGTTACAATATTGTTATTGTGTTGATAAAGATTTTAATTGAGCACTATATTGGAATATGTGTGTTTGTGTGAATACTGAATAGGGAAACATTCTATTATATCCTACTATAACAAACATAATATATTATGACTATATTATAATTTGCACTTCTTAAGGTAATAAAATCTGGGAGTCTGAAAGTACCTGTGAATCTATGATACAATATTGTCAGTGAAAACATAAATAGTAAAATACCTATACCAGATAGATCTGTCAAAAATTAATTTTTGTTGTCTAGATGCTATAATTATTAGACTAAGCCTTATAATTGTGTACGCCATACTTATGGTTTTAGTACCTGTACAAATATTATGTGAAACTGTCAGGAATTTATCCAAAAGCAGGGATCAAAAAATATTTCATAAATAGTACCTACCTATGCCATAAATCAATAAATGTATATACAATATACATAACTAAACGTAGGCTAATAATTCTTGATGTTGAAACCTTAACAGTTAATAAAAACAAACCATGTGTGTTACCAGTACGCGCGCGGGAAGTTAAACTTCTTTTGAATGGTACACGTGACACGTGAGTGAGTGAAAAAGAAAGAAAAAAATATTAATTAATTTAAAAAATGAGAAGAAGTATCCGGAATTATTTATCATTGATAGTTTTATTATTTTTTTTATATTTTTATTCGACAGATCGATGGATAATTGTTTGTAGTATATATTGTTTTCATCCAGACAATATATTTGTGAGTGAATACTAATAATAATAATAAAAATAAATAATAATCGATCATTAATTATTCATATTAATTACTAATTAGTATGGCCCGATTATAATATATAGGTAATACCTACTAGCTGATCCTGTGCACTTCGTCGCCCTTTAAATGTATCAACTCATTACTCAATGAGTTATGACTCAAACTTTGTTCAATTCGTTATTCAATATTCGGTGTATGGTGTTCAAAATGTATCTTATCTTTTCCGTTGCCCGGAATAAAAATTCTGAATCGCAGCAGTACATTATCAGGTAAGCAATCTACCTGCGGTAGATCGCGGACCCCGTGCTGTTTGTACGGAAGTGTAGGATTTAACTCTAAATTATCAAAGTTATACCAAGTTTATTTTGATATAATACGGTGGATTAATATAACAAATTTGGTTGCTCGTAAAAAATCACAACTCTTAAAAAAATTATGATTGTTGAACTCCTTTTGGGTGTAACTTGCTGGGGTAAGTGCAACTCAGCCACCCTGGTAGGCAATGTTCAATAATTTGATTTGATGCAAGCTTGTACCTGATCTGCCCGAATAACCAATGGCAACCAATAAATAAATGCTAATTTCTAATGTAGACTGTAACCAATGGCAACTATTAATAAATAAAAATAAAATTTCCAATTTCCATCTTGAATCTCAATGTCCCTGTTTGAGCACCTATTTAAAATGCGAATTTCGAAAAATCCTTTCTTAGCGCACGTCTACAACATAATAGCTATCTGTATGCCAAATTTCAGCCAGATCCGTCCAATGGTTTGAGCTGTGCGTTGATAGCAGTCAATCAGCTTACTGTTTTATATACAGGGTGTTTCTGAAATGAATGAGGAAACTAGTATATGCGTACTCAGTGTGATGACCCAATGATGATTTTTTTGAAAATTTTTTTCTACCTTCAAAATCTGGGTTTTTTCAATTTATTTTTAGAACATTATCTTAAATGTAAAAATAAATACTCAAGTTGTATTTTTTGTAAAAATCTCATACGAATCGAGGTGTCACATCATTTTTGAGCTTGTCGCGCGTTTTTCACGCTCGAACCGCCGATTAAAAAAAAATGGTGTGGCACATCGATTTGTATGAGAAAACTACAAGATAAACAGTGGTGATAGTTATTTGTTGAAATTTAACATACACGATTAATTAACACATAAATTCGATCATTTAAGACTCTGTTAACCCTAATTATGTTATTATTTATCATTTTTATTAGTTGACAATGTAAAACAATGCGCATGTCAACTTTTTTTTTTTAAATGGCAACCCCCTGCTTTAACCACTACTTATTTTTTGCCTATTTTTTTAATGAATTTTGGTAGTTGAATCAACTTTCTAAGTCCAAAATTGACCAAGTTACAGCCAATCAAAAAAAGAAAAATTAGAAAAAAAATGCGCTCGATTTTCATCTTTTTGATTTTAACTCTGAAAATAATTATTTTAGGAATGTTAAACATATTATACATATACTATTTATTACGGTGATATTCATACGTTATTTTAACTTCAATTACTGAATAATTTTCTCGAGCTGAATCATGTTTTGTTCACGGCAGAGAACAGTTTGAACAATTTATTCGTTAGATTTTTTTTTTTTTTTTTAGATTTTTATTAACTAAATAAATTGGTAACTTAAATAAGAATTGAATTTGTTATAAATTAATAATTATTAATACGTTCTAATAGATCCATTAAATGTAAAGAAATAAACAACATACTAATTTACGTTTTTTCTGCTATAATAAGTTATATGATTTATTACATAAATTAAAGAGAAAATTATTCAGTAGGTAATTGAAGTTAAAATAACTTATGAATATCACCGTAATAAATAGTTACAAAAATGTCAATGTTTAACAATCCTAAAATAATTATTTTCAGAGTTAAAATCAAAAAGCTGATAATCGAGCGCATTTTTTTTCTAATTTTTCTTTTTTTTGAATGGCTGTAACTTGGTCAATTTTGGACTTAGAAAGTTGATTCAACTACCAAAATTCATTAAAAAAATAGGCAAAAAATAAGTAGTGGTTAAAGCAGGGGGTTGCCATTTAAAAAAAAAAGTTGACATGCGCATGCGCGTGACTAATTAAGTAAAAAAAATTCAAAGACCATAAAAATGTGTATTTTTATGTCATAACAACTGCCAAAAAAACGGAATTCAAATAGCAGGTCTCTACGCAAAGATATTGAGTGTTCTCGATTACCGTTTACACACTGTATAAGTTTTATGTTTATATTACTCACAGCCACATGATTACATAAAAATGATTGACCAAATATTTTTCAAAAACTAATTAGGGTAATTACCACATTATATTAATATTTAGTTACAAATATTACACTTATTTACTTTTAAAAAATATTTAATCAATGAATTCCATGTGGTTGTCAGTAATATTGTAGTCTGGGAGTTATATTTCCTAGGGTCGACGATTTTTTGCCGGGATTGTTCGTCAGAGGTTATTTCCGGGTATTTTTATTCCGCAATTCACTGTAGGTTCCTATCTATATTATAGTTCAGTATATAAACTGTAAAATTATCCATTAGGTATAATCTTAAAAATATACTGACATAAATTGATAACTTAAAACAAATACAGGCATACAGCTTCTATTATTTACTATATTTATCACAGGTAATATTAAGTAATTATAAAGTTTAAATAAAAATGTATTCCTACAGTGGAATTTTTAAAGGTTTATTAATATTTTAGGAAACAATTGAATAATTTATA